AGAGAAGGTGTTGATTCCAGCCTTTGTGGGCAAATCCTTGTGGATGGGGGCTGTGGGAAGAGAGAAGGTGTTCATTCCAGCCTTTGTGGGCAAATCCTTGTGGATGGGGGCTGTGGGATGAGCCTGTGGGGTACTTGTGAAGTGGGAGCCTGTGTTACCTGTAAGAGGTGGATCCTTCCCAGCTCCTTCCCTGCATGTTGGTCTTTTATTCCCCCTCTGAAGTAGCCGTGGAAACACGGAAGTTTTTCGTGCAGGTGAGCAGGGAAGTGTCTCATGTGGCTGCCTGAGCACAGGGGGGGCTGAAAATGGGGGTTTTCTAAGGGGGTTTGTTTTCAAACCCTCAGGTTTGAGTCGTTTCAGTGACCCATAGTCCCTCATCCCACAGGGCTGAGATGGGCATTTATTCTCCCCAGGGAAATGGTGACACTTTGGAAGTGCTGAAGATGAGCTGCTGAGCACGAGCCAATGACAGGAGACTGTCAAAAGTTCTGTTTCCTTCAGCAGGGAAGAACCAACAGCAGCAACCCCACAACTGCTGTGCCCAGGTGAAGGGAGAAGGGAGGTGGGAGGCTGTTGTGCTGATTTTTGGGGGTTACACACCCAGTTCCTCCCAGGGATGACTTTCCTCCCTGTTGGTCTGAGCAAGGATCGGCTCCTCCTCCTGTGACAAACACAACCACAGTCCCCAGAACCTGCCTGTGGGTGCTTTGGAGTTTTCCAGGCATCAGGAGAAATTCTCCCTTGGACTTCCTGAAGCTCCTCCTGGCTGGCAGAGCTCTGGTGCTTCCCTGGCAGGACCAACTCCTGCCCCGGGGCTGCCTGGCCCAGGGTGGCAGTGCCGGTGTCACTCCTGCAGGGCTCTGGGCAGAGCAAGTTCTGCTTATTCCTGACATCTTTTGTTTCTCCCTGAACAACATTTCTGCTTCCTGTGGCACAAAATGTGTGTCACTGCCCTGAACTGTCCCCAGTGGCCTTTGTTTCCATCCCTTCAGGTTGTGGTTTGCAGAGGGAAATGGGATTTGGGGTGTTTTTTTCCCTGTGGTTCGTTACTCATTGACACTTTATAAAATGCATTCAAATCTTAGTTTCCTTAAGAGCCAAAGCCAAGGTTGTGCAACAATTCCATGAATTCCCTGATGTTTCATGGAAAAGAGCCCAGGAAATGCACATCTCAGTTGTCAGGTCTGCTCTGGTAGCACTGCTGCCCACCAGCTTCCAAAATCCAACAGCAGGAAAATGCAATCCCTGTGAGGGGCACTGGTGCATCCATGGTTTATTCCAAAGGTTTTCTGATCATACTTGGAGCAGGAACCTTCGAAGGTGAATCTTTCCTCTTTGCCCAAGTCACCTGGTCAGGAAACTGAGGTTATTTCTGGCAGAGCTCAGTTTTCCTGGAGAGCTTTCCTGTCACTTCTAAGTCACCTCATGTCCTACTGGAAAAATTGTAGGATAATCCAAGTCTTGAGCAGCCTTTAATCTTGCTCAGTTCTGTCTTAAACAAGTGTGACACTTTGAGGGCAGACAGGATTTTTCTGATGCAGCCACATGTGCTCCTACACTGGGTTTACCTTCAGCTACAAGAAATATTCTGTTCTCCTGAAGGCAGAAGCTGAGCCCCACCCACCCATCCCAGCTTCAGCACGTGGGAGTGAAGGACCTTTTGGGGTTTTTTTAGGAGACTAAAGGACTTCTGTACCAAGCTGTTGATGTTTCCTTAAAACCTGGATTCCACCATCAGTCAGGTCTGGCCAACCCCAAAGCCCAGCCAGGATCTTTCAGAATCACAGAATCATTCAGGCTGGAAAAGAACTTTAGGATCATCAAGCCCAACCATAACCCAATCCCCTGAAGAGGGTTTTTGCCACAGCAAGGAAAGGATCAGCTGCTGCTTCCTCCAAACCCTGCTGCTCCATGACTGGGGTTTACACAAAAGGAACACTGGAGGTAGGTTTGGGACTTCCACAGCCCCAATCCAGCCTCAGTGCTGGTGCACAACTGTTGGGAATCTCCAGGATAATAATAAATAAGGTCACGTGGTTTGAAAGAACAGAATTTCCATGTTGCTGGGTTGAAGCTTGTTGCTATGATGCTGCAAGTATTGCAGGGGTTTGTGGTTTTGGGAAACCATGGAGACAGCCTTTATTCCCTACTTTTTGTGCAGGTGGTGATGCTGCATTCATCAAGTTCTGTCTTTCTGTTGGTCCCTGATGTTGTCTGGGAACCTCAGAAACAAAAACCCCCCAAGTGGAAGGCAGGACTGACCCTGGGGAGCCCAGTCTGTGCTCTGGGGCTGGGCTGGGCGGGTTCCACATTTGGTTCCATCCCCAAGTCTGTGTCCCCAGGAATCCCCAGGGACAGCAGCTGCTCTGTGGCCCAGCCAGGCAGGAGCAGCCTCAGGCCCTTGGGATGTTCCTGTCATTCCAAGTGCTCTGGTTTCCAGTGTTTCCGTGCTCTGTGTCTCGGGTGCGTTTCTCGGGGCAGGAATTGGCTGGGGGTGTTTTCCCTGTTCCTCCAGGGAAGCAGCCAAGCAGAGGAGGATCATCCCTGGAGCCACAGCCAGCAGGGCACTGTGGGACTCCTCCTCAGCCTCTGTCTGGCAGCTCTGGGGGTTTGACTCTCAGTTTGCCAGTTTGGGTTTGAAGTGTTCCCTCAGAGCTGTCACAGCCCAGATTGGACTTTTAGGGGCAGAGAGAGAGACTGGGGAGAAAGGGGATGAACATCAAGACGGCTCCAAGTGCATGAGAACTCCCACAGGATGTGTGATTGTACTTCAGCAGCTTGAAAAGAGGCTCGTGTGAGACAAACCCTCCTTCCCTGGGCAGGCTGTGGCCCTGTTTGTGGCAGAGCTGATCCTGTCAGCAGTGGCTGTTCCCATCCCTGCTGCAATTCCCCCTTTGAGGTTCCCAGGCCTGGCTGCCAAACACCCCTGCGACAGGTCTGGCTGCATTTTTGCAGTGGAACACACGTGTGGCCTGGCTGGGGTGGGCCCAGAGGCAAACCACAGCTATGCTTTGACATCCACACTGCTCTGGGGAGACACCTCATTAGCACTGGCTGGGATGTCTCAGTGCCCACTCCCTCCTCGTGCTGGAGCAGCTGCTCCTGCTCTTCTCCCTGCTCCAGCCCCAGCACGGATCCCGTCCTCCCTGCTCATCCCTCTGCTCCAGGGGAGCAGGGAAAGGCTGGTCCTGCTCGGTGACAATGTGACACTGGCTGTGCCAGGCCCTCAGGGGTGGTGGAGGTGACTCTCCCTGTGTCCCTGCAGGTCTCTGAGGAGACACAACTGATTTACAGCTGCTGCCGTTTCTGTCCTTTGAGTCCCGGAACCGAGCTGGGGTTTGCTGAAGGGCAGCAAAATGGCTTTAAAAAAAACAAACCAAAGAGCAAAACCCCACTTTCGGAGATATTTCTGTGAGCAAAGCACCCCAGGTTGACTCATGGCTGGGCAACAACTCTTGCTCAACCGTGGGGCTGTTGGGAGGGAGCAGCGAAGGGCTGAGAGGTGAGTGGTGAAATCCTCGCCCCGGGAGGTGTCTGTCTGTCTGTCCGTCCGTGCTGTCCCCGGTTCCTGTGCTGGCACCCAGCACCTGAACCTGTGTTTTCAAGCCAAAGCCCTTCCCGGCACCCTGAGGGGAGCTGGAATTTTCCAGGCGTTTTCCAGGCACTTGGGGTGGCTGGCTGGGTTCCACATTTGGTTTGAGCCGAGGCTGGTCGCGGGTTGCTGTGGGCGGGTGTCGCTGCCACTGGATGTCACTGTCGCCGTGTGGCACTGGGAGCACTGGGAGCACGGCGGGGGCGGGTCCCTGAGCTCCGAAGGAGTGGGAAGCACCACACAGCTGGATGGGGAGCGGATTGCTGTGCATCCCTTGGGTAATCCCAGGGAAAAATTCCTTTCGCCAGTTGTTTGGCTGGGTTTTTTTGGTTTTTTTTGTTTTTCAAACAAACCTTTGCTGAGTCTGCGAGAGCCCAGAGCCTGATTTCTTGCCCAGGCCAAGCCGCGGAGCTGATTTCTGCAGCCTTCAGGAGCCAGCAGATTGCAGAGGGAGAGGATGCCCCGTTCCAGCTCCAAGCTGACAAGTGGGTTCCATCCCCAAGTGGGTCTGGGATTTGCACCAAGTCTGAAACCGAGGAGTTGGGACCAGTGTTTAAATTCAGATGCGTGGAGCTCTTTAATTATTATTTTTATTAATTAAATTATGTGAATACTGACTTAAATTTTTAAATTTTTAAAAAGCCCTAAAAGCCCAAGTCTGGAGCAAAGGGGAGGTGGATCCCTAATTTTAGGTGACTGAGGAGCAAGGCCAGGGATAGCTGCCCTGTGGCCTCTCTCCTTAAAAAAACCCACCAAATCACCACGTTACCGTGCTGCCATCCTCAATCACTGACCAGTTAAATATCGATCCCGTGTTTTTGTGCTCGCTCAGCCCAATAACGAGGCGTTTCCCCAGGATCTGTTCCCCCAGTGCCGGTGCCCCCCGGATCCGCAGCCTGTTGTTTGTGCTCGAGCAGGAGCCGCCTGCTCTTCCCTTCCCACAAAGGGCAAAGGTGCTGCTTTTTCTCCCACTTGTCTTGCATAACAAAAGGCGTTTGTCACCCGTTACACAACGGCGGGATTTGTCACTTCTGTGGCCGCTCTGGAGGCAGCTCGGCCCCGGCACATCCCGGTGCATCCCTGACCGATTCCTCTCACCCACCGCTTGGGCTTTGCCTTTTTTTTCCATCCTTGGGAAAGGAAGGTGTGGAGTTGTGTGGTTTGGTCGTGGTTATTATGGAGAGCAAAAGGATGGGAAGGTGTTTTAGGGGGTTGTTTGCTCCGTGGTCCTTGTTTTGAGGGGGCAGTGGGGAGGAGCAGGGCTTGTCCTCAGCAGAGGTCGTGTCCCCAAGCCTTTGGAAATGGAGCTCCATTCCCCAGGTTTAGGGGAGCAGGAGCACCTGTCCCCACCTGCCTCACCGAGCTGGCAGCTGCTTTTTTAATGCCTCTCCTGAATCTCGAGTGTCTCGTGCTCCCAACCCTCGTGTCTGGGGTTTTCTCTTCACAGTAGGTTCGATTTCCTCCTTGCTGGAGTATCTTTTTGGAGCCTTAAAAGTAAATAAATGGGTTTGTTTCCCCACAAACTAAGAGCAAAAACTGTAGCTGGTCTCCCTAACTGCAGGAGAGAGCTCTTAACCTGCAGCCTCAAACTTATTTGTGGCCTTACCAGTGCCAGCTATTAAATGACCACAGCTCCCTTTCAACACAGTGTCCCAGTGACCCAACAAGTTTGTCCCTGTTTTCTAATTTATTCAAAACAATTTCTTAGTTGACTTTTTTTTTTTTTGGTAGACCTGCTTCTAATTATTTTTTAATGAACTCCTGGAAGTGTGTGTTTCTTGTGGACCTTTGAACTTCCTGGTGTGCCCAGCCTTTGCTCAGGAGATATGTTTATGGTTGGCTCTGAGTGTGCTTTAAGTGTGTTTTAACCCTTTGGAGCTGAATTCCCAGGGAACTGTTGCAGTTCCCTTCTGTAGGAGATGCTCAGGCACAGAAATGGTTGTTGGCAAACACAGGCTTTGCCTGAACCAGTCGCTTTTCTCCTCTTCTCCCAAGCTTAAAAAGGTGAAAGCTGCTCTTCCCTAAGCATGGAAAGGGTGATCCATGAACTCAGGGGGCTGCACAGGAGCCCCTTCATTGCCCAGGGGTGTTGCTGGTGGGCAGCACATGGAAACCCTCGTGCTGGGCAGGACCAGGTGCCACGTGGCCTCTGCTGGAATTATCTGTGTGACCCGTGAGCCTCTGGCAGTTGGATGGAGCTGTACAAGTCTGCTGTTGATATCCAACCTCACTCCCAGTGCCTGGAAATGCAGGGCCAAAGTCTGTGTCCAGGAGCCCGTCGTGCTGGGAGTGTCACTGCTGTGGTGCCACCAGTGCTGGGTGAGAGGGGACAGAGCTCTGGGCAGAGGTGACTCTTCACTTCTGCCAGTGATCAGTGTCTTCTCCTGCTGGAAGCTGCAGAATGAAGTGTCTTGTCCTGCTTTTTGGCTGCCTCTGCCAAACTCCTGGCTTTTATTTGTTCCCTCTCTCTTTCTCACCTGAGGCGCCCCTGACTTTTTCTACTGCTGAATTCCCTTCAGTCCCTCACAGTGTGTCCTGATGGAAGGTGTCTGTGCAGATGATCAGGGTCCTGCATGGTGGAGCCCTCTCTGCCCAATACAACAGTTGCCTCCTCCCCTGAGATGCCCAGGTCCTTCTCTGTGACCTGCAAATTGCCAGATCCATGGGTCAGTCTGCAGCTCATGCAAACCTTTCACCCTCTCTTTAAAAAACCACCAGTGACAAACCCTGTCCTGAGGCTCAGGGGCATTTCTGTTCCTGCCAAATCATTCCAGATTGGGTTTTCAGAGCTGCTTAATGAAGGAGGTGTTCAATGCTCATTAAAAGCCCATAAGAATTAGGTGCCTACTTTAGGTCCCTTTTGGAAATCCTGCCTCTAATAAATTACAGGGTAAACAATGGTCACCCATTGCTAATAGCACCAATCAGACACGGGCTGGCAGCCACTGGTGAGGTGGAAATGTGTGGTTGTGGGTCATTGTAACCTCAGGGTGTTCTGTCTGCAGCTTTTATTGGTGGCAAAGGGGCTGTGGCTGACCTGGGACAAACCCAAACCCTCAGCCACTGAGTGTGCACCTCCCTGGGCTGGGGATGGGGATATTTTCTCTTGCAAAGGGGCAAGGGCTGCTCTCCCCTGTGTAGGTAACTCCTCCACTCCTCGTTTGGAAAGCAGCACTTACATAACTGACTTCAACACCAGCTTATGTTGCCTTTTAGAAGATGCTGAAGTGTGTACAAGAGAAGTCCTTCCCTCCCTGACATCTTGCTCCCTCAGAGGATTGCTTTGTTTGCAGCTGTGGGAGCTTGGTGTGGTCTCTGGGGCACCTGCAGTGAGTGCAGCACCAGTCCCTGGGCATCAGTCAGGATTAGTGTGGCCTCTGAAGGTGCAAAGTGCAGCTCTGAGTCACAGCCCTGGCTGGGCTGTGTTGGCTCTCAGGGAGTGTGGGTGCAGCTCCCAGGGTGGGCAATCACAGTTTCCCTCTACGGCTTCTGTTGCAGCAAGTCCAAGGTGGGTCTCTCTCAGCTCTCCCTCTGCCCCTGCTGAGCCAGTGCTGTGGGGAAGCTCTACCCTGAGATGGGGATGGTCCCATTTGATGGGGAACAGGGACCTTGGGCTGCACCCTGGGTGTTTTCAGGGAGCTGCTTGGAGTTGAGACCTCAATTCCCATCACAGTGCAATGGGAATTCAAGGTTACCTCCTTCGCAGATGATGGTGAAAACCAACAGCAGTGAGATCTCTCTCTCCTGGGTGACATCTCTTTTAAAGCTCTCCTTTTTGGAATGAATAAACTGCCCTTGCCAGCAGGAAGTCTGCAAAGGCTTGGAGTTAAAGGCATTTGCTTTGGAAATTCACTTCCAGGCAAAATGCTTTCCCAAAGGGAATCGCGCTGGGCCGGTCGTGTCCTGCCCGGTCAGACAAGTGCCATTGTTGTGTCCTGGACAATCAGTGTCATTGCTGCAGCTGGGACCCCGCTGGGCTCCTGTGCCAGGTCACCTCTGGCACCCAGAGCTGTGCCCAGGGCTGCACAAAGGCCCCTCTCTCTGGGGGATCCCCGGGCTCTGGGCTGAGCTCTGGGTGGTTTTGGTGCCGAGCTCCCGCTGGGCCCAGAGCCCCGGGCAGGTGTCACCTTGGGAAGGACCCACTGCTGGGTCTGCAGACAGAGATGGGACCTTGTTTTCAGGCTGTCTGAGGGAAGTTTGGCCTTTACCCACCATTGAATTCCACAGTGACAAACATCCATGGAGACAGGCCCTCCCCTCAAGATGTCTGCGGCCTTTTCCCTCCTGTCTCTGCTTTCTTCCTCCCCCTGTCTCAGATTCTGCTGCCAGCTCTGGGTGCAGGAGCCTCTCCCAAGCTGCTGCTGGGCAGATGCAAAGGCAATTCCCTGCTCCCACTGCGCAGCTGGGTTTGCTTGGACCATCTGAGGTAGGTTACAGCTTTTTAACCCATGCTGGGATTTCCCAGGGTGTTGTTGCTTTACCCAAGGTGAGCTCTGCAGAGGGAAGCAGTGGGATGGCACAGCTGGCTGGAGCTGTCCTGCCTCAGCCTGGCTGTTGGGAGGACTCTCAGAGGTGGTTTGGCTGAAGGGGATGTTGAAAATGCAGCTGGTTTCCCAATGCCAACCGCCCTCCTGCTGCGCCTGCTGCCTGCAATGGTGACATCCATCCCTCTGGGGCAGCTCCTCTCCTTTTCTCCTCCAAAGATGTAATCTGAGAAGTTGCCATCTTATGTCCTCACCTCTCAAGTCAGGGTGTGGAAGGGCAGCAGGTTCCTGGCTAATGGGAGCACAGGAGAAATGAAGCTTCTTCAGCACGAGCTTTCACCTGCATCAGCAGCCAGATTAGAGGCCATTCAGGAGCTCTGGGGACAGAAGCTGGTTGTTAGCACAGGCATAACCCATATTTGCATGGCCATATCTGTGTCCTTGTGAGATTACAGCTTCCACACAGCATGTGACCGCAGCATGGAATGGCTCTCTTGGTTTATCGTGTGTACACTTTGCCTTTCAGAGGATCGAGGAGGCCTTGAGTTCCCCTTGAGAATCCAAGGCTTTGTTCCACCTTTCGGTGTCCGCGGCGCTCGGAGCTCAGCCAAAGCCAGGAATATACAAGTGGGAGGCACAGATGGACTTCTCTGGCCAGGCTTCCTCTGAGGCTCTCACTGGATTTAGAAGTTGTCCATCAGCCTGGTTCACTGCTGTGAGATCAGACACGAGAGGTTTCTTTGAGCCCTCCCAAGGCTGTGGCTGTCCCGCTTCCCCCTCTCCCCTGGAACACAACTCTGCTTCCTGCTTTGAAGCCTCTCCTGTTGGAAGGTGGCGTAACACAGACCACAGCTTTGTAAATCCGTGGGATTATATTGCCTACTTATGGCAGGAACCCTTTGAAAGGGTGTTCTAGTTGGATGGGGAAGAGTACAAACAGATTCTGCATCTCCTGTTTCTCCCTGGGAAGGCAGGGAGCCCAGGTGCCAGTCAAACACACTGTACTGTAACAGTGCACCTCGGGGAAAACGCTTCCCTTTCCCCTGACAGCTCTCCTGTGAATATTAATTTCTGTATTTGAGTGTCTTCATCTTCCAGGAGCTGTGGAAGTGCAAACATTACCCAACTCCTGTAGTGCAGCAGCTCTGGCAGTGCAGAGCAGGCAGGGAGCCAGAGGAGAAGCAGTTGGGAAGATGCTCTGGGTGTGCTGCTGTTTGTAATTTGCTGCTCTGGGCAGATTTAGCACCATTACCACATGTGATGGGATGGATCTGGGTGCTTATGGTCCATGCAGGCAGCTGATATGGTATTTATTTACTGATAGATCACAGGAAGGAAAGCTGATAAAGGCAGATAAATACACAGGTATTTTGCATTACACTTAAACCACCTGCCTGTACATGTGGTTTAGTTAAACACAAACTCCAGCCATCAGTGCCAGATGTGTTGCAATGTGATGCCAAAGAGGGATTGTAACCAGGAATGTTTTCCAATAATCTGTTCTTACCAGGAGGGTGTGAATGCTCCATTTGATGGAATGATCAATGATACTCAGCAACTGCTTGGCCTGTAGGGGTGGAGGCTTTGCTAATTCCACCTGGGAATTCCTTTCCTGCTGCTTGGGGGTGACGACAACTTTCCCAGCCAACCAAAGACCCATCTTCTCCCTGCAGATAAATACAGCTCAAGTTAATAAATTGTGTGAGGGGAAGAGATGTGAAGGAGAACTTGGGCCAGCTGTTGTTTCTCTGTGGCATTGTCAGAGGCATCTCAACACGCCACAGGAGCTGCTTTTTGGTAAGTGTTGTCCTTGCCTTCTCAGCCAGCTCTTCATGAGCTTATTGATGGTGTTTGCTCATGTCAAAAAACTTTCTTAAGCTGCTTGAAGTCCTCAGGAACTGACAGAGCATTATCAGCTTCCTCCACGCTTTGCAACGTGCACCCTGTGAGAAACAAGATAGTTAAAGGCTTTTCTTCTTATTGTGCTTCATAAGTTTTTATGCAAATTGAAATAGGCATTATTAATGAGATGTTAATAAGCCCATCCCTTTGGTGCCACTGGTATAACAAGTTGGGTATCTCTTCATAGTGAAAATTGTTTGACTTCTGTTAACTTTTGCATCCCATAATCTGAGCTCCCTGGGTGATGTCTGCCTTGCTCACTTCCCCTCCCTAACAAGGTTACCCCTCATCACAGCAGTGAGTCAGAGAGGCCTGGAAAAGGAGGAGACTGGTTCCCATCTGCCCAGGGAACAGGACAGGGGATGGCACAGGATCAGGGAGATGTGCCCAGAGCTGGGTAAGTCAAACTGGAGCCCACACAGGGAGCAACAAAAACAAATGAGGGAGAGACGATGCAAAAATAAGCTGTAGAGGAACAAAGGGGATTTTCCTCTCTCTGCAATACAGAGAAATCAAATGTCAGGCCACCAGAAGGGGTTGTCCTGTGCTGTTATCTGTTCCCAGTCTTGAGGCTCTTCTCTGAAGGACTCACTGGGGAAACACCTTTTCCAGGTTGTATCTGAGGATGGGAAGTAACAACTGGTCAGAGCAACTGGGCCCCAGAGCCAGGAGACCCCCCTGCCTCAGGTGTCTCCCCTCCCAGAGTCAGGGCACCCTGGGTTTCAGAGCCTCCCTTCCTGGCAGAGGTTCTCAAGTTTTCTCTCTCTCCCTGTTGCTTTGGCAGATTTTGACAGCTGCCCCCAGTGATCTCGTTCCTGGCACAGGAGTGTCAGACTGGGATGAGTGTCAGACTGGGATAACTGCCAGGGCAGTCGGTGCCCCCAGGCTGGGGTGAGGCTTCTGGGCACGTGGTGGGTCCTGGGGTTGCATGAGGTGGTGAAGCTCAGGTTCCTGGCACAGGCCAGGCCCTGTCCCTCCGTTGTCACCGCTGCCCTCTGCGTGCACATCCTGCCTCTCTCCTGCTCTGGCCCTGGGCCTGACCCCCTGTGCACCAAGGACTGGAGAGCTTGGAAACTGCCACTGAACGCTTCAGTCCATGGATTTTCCAGAGGAAGTTCAGGTTTTGGTTTTCTTTTTCTTTTGGTTTTGGTTTTACTAAAAGGAAAAAGCAAGGAATTTCCCCTCCAGCCTGTAGAAGGTCACTGCCAGGAGAAGTGGCTTCGTTTCTCTTTCTTAAAGCCTTCAACACCCTGTTATGCTCCAAATAATGAGGCCAAAAAGGCCAATCTTTAGGTGGTGGTTTCAGCCTCTTGCATGATGGTCCAGGGGGGAGGCTGGAGTGAGACACAGGCTCTGCTGAGATTGGCAGAGGGGGAAAAAAAAGCAGTGTGTGCCATTTAATTTCTGTGATGTTCTGATTCCCTCCCACCAGCCTGGAAATGCTGAATGTGATCCTTTGTCTGGCATATGGGGATTTGGAGAACTGTTGCTAATTACAGCACTTGTGCCATCTCCCTTAAATGGCTTAAATAATATATTAAGTGCTTTTATGATCTCCCCCAACACGCTGGAATGCAAAGAAGTGCATTTTATGCTGTTTATAGTTTGTGGCTGGAGTAACTTATATAACATTAATCTGCAGCAAAAAAAAAATGGGTTTTGATGATTTATTGTTTGTGCAATTCCCAGCTGGGGCTCTGGATGCTCAGCTCCCCTGGTGCTGGGTGTTCTCCAGAGGCAGAGCCTGCAGTTCATCTTGGAAGGTGGGATCTAATCCAAGGGGAAGAGGCTGTGGGTGGCTGCAGGGAATGGTGGATGCCAGGGAAGGGTCGTGGGACACCACTGGACAAAGCTCTGTGGAGTTCAGGTGAGTCTGATGGCAAAGGGACAGAGTGTGGGACCTGGGAGAGGATCACGGGAAGTCACGTTGTAACTTATTTAGGGAGTATTCCCATTATTTTAATTAAACTTTAATTGGAAATTAGGAGCGGGTTACTAAGCATCATATCTAGAAGTGGGAGTATTCCATGGTCTAGACTAGTGCTTATCCAGAAAAAAGGAAGGATCTTTTTTCCACCCACTTTTTTTTCTAGAAAAAATTCTTCTAGTCATCTGTTTGCACCCAGATTCCTGTGTCTCCTGCCTCACAATCTCCACTTTCTATTCCTGTTATTGTAGCTAATGTTTAAAGAAAATGTGAGAAGAGTGTGCTGTGAATGCCTTGTTGCTGTGTCTGGTGTGAGGAATAATTATGGAGCAGCTGAGCAGTGCCAGCCAGGGGCTCCAACAACCTGGGAAGACACATGTTGGGAGGGCACATAAAACCACAAAGGGAATTTGTGAGAACTGTGAATAGATTGGCATGTTCTGACCTATAATTTGGTTTGGTTTGACACAGCTCTCTGTAAAATCACAAGTTTTGTTGGATTATGCTGGTAATTAGCAATATTTCAGCTCTTTAAAATTAAAGCATTGTGCAGGCTCTGCAGAGCAGGGGGAAAAAAGTGTCTTTGTCTGGTTTTGTTTGCTAAGAGCTTGAAAATAGGGAGGTGAGAAACTCGTGTCAAACCTTGAAGTATAATTTTGCAATTAAAAGACTGAGGAGAAAAGTGTGATCTGAAGACCTTCAGTTTTCTTGCTGTGACATAAAATTAACAGCTATCTTCATTCTCATTCTGGTTTAATATTCCTGCAGAGAAGGAAGCAAAAAGAACTCCCCAGGCTGGCTACAGTGGGATGGAGGAGCTGTTCCTTTGACAATGACAGGGTACAGGCTGGGAGGGGAGGGATTTGGGTTGGCATAAGCCTGGCAAACGTCTGCAAAAATGCTCTGGATGCTCTAAAGTGATGTATTTCTAAGGCTAAAAACAGAGAAATGCTCTCTGGGAGATGCTTAGAGGCACCTCCAGAAAATTTCAAGGTCGTCCATGCAGCAGCTTGCAGGGATGCACAGCTGGCACCTCATCACTAAAGCCAGCAGAATCTCAACTCCAAGGCTGTTAGCAAACTGTGTGGGTAAAAATAGAAGGGTAAATTGAAACTACCTGAGAGGGGAAGAAACAGCTGGGAAGTCATAAGAGGCAGCAAAATGAGCGGAGAAACTTTTGCCCATCATGGTGGTGTCCAAGTGTTTTATATGAACTTCAAATTGCTCCTTCCTTGAATGTACCAATTTTCTTTTTCAAACTGTGACAACTGCACTTGTCTTCTGTTGCAAAGAACCTGCTCAAGAGTCTACTCCACATTCCAGGCCTAATTTTTATTACAGTAGCTGAAAAGAGCTGCTAGGCCAGAAGCTCTTCTAGGATTAGCTGGACTTCTACCCAAAGGCTTTTATGGATCATTTAACAGTACGTTTTACAAAATAAATACCCATGCAAATACTTAATATAGTAGGCAAAAATTTGATTAACCTCTAAGCTTTACCTTGCTGCCTGGGCACAATAAATCCACAAAAGGGGAAGAAGGCAAAATGCTGTTGGAGCTACTGGTCCAGCAATGATACAGGTTTTGTTTTGGGAGCCCACTGGAACACTTCAACAGCCCCTGCACGTTCAGCTGAAGTGACAGGGACACAACCTGCTCATCTGTGTCCTGTTGTGACTCACTGCTGCACTCAGGCAGTGGGGTGGGATGTGGTGGCTGGAGCAGATGGAAAGACGTTGGGCTATTTTTGTTGCCTTCTTGGCTTGACCAAGCAATTCTTCCCTGACTCTGATTACAGGCATGATGGTATCTTAGATAATGCCCCTTGATAAAGGCCTTTTAAATCCCTAATTACTGTCATTAGCCATTTGACACCATAAAATAGAGCTCTGTTGTTTTAATGTCTCTTTGTTTTACCCCTGTCTGTGGGGTGTCTGGAGTGTGCACAACAAAAACAGGGAGCTGGAACCTTTGGATCCCGCTCAGAGGTGTGTGCCAGCACAACAATGTGTGTGTGCACACAGTTGGATTTGCCACTGCCCAGGACTCTTTCACTCTCTGTGTTGGGAGAGCACTGAACTGAGACATCATCAGCCTGTTGGCAGGGCCAGGAGGGCTGGCAGGTTCCTCTGTTTGGGGATGTCCTTTGTTGGGTGTTTGAATCGGGTGGAACCTTAATTAGCAAATAAGAAGCTTTGGCCTTCCCTTCCAAGCTCTGAGGCAGAATTAAGGGAAGCACAAGGAAGTGCCAAACGACACGGCAGCACCGGCTCCGTGGCTTTTGTTTTACTCTGCTGCCCTGCTGCTTTGAGATGCGCTTCCCACTGTAATCAGCTGCTGGCAGAGCGCTCCCCGAGCTTGTTCCGTGTTTGATGCTCTGGTGCTGCTCTCTGTGTACACAACAGCCAGAGTGCTGCGGTGCCGGGGACCCCGTGAGCAGCAGCTGGGGAGCTCGGAAGAAAGCAGCCCTGCCTTTGAAAGGGGAGCTGCCCCGTGGAGCCGCGGGGCCGAGGCCCTGCCCGCTGCGCGCCCGGGCCACGAGAGCTCCTCTCTCCACGGTGCAACCCGGGCTTTGCTGGAACACACTCAGCATTAGTCACTCCTTGCAAAGCCACTCCTTTCATTTGATCCTCTGCTATTAATTATTTGCACTTCCTCTTGTCACAACACATTTTCTTTTTGCTGCCCGGGATGGAACTCGCAGAGAAATCCTTTACTTCCATTCCAACGACGCAGCGGTTTCTGCCTCCGGGAGAGCACGGGATTGCTTTTATCAAACATATTTCTTCTCCCATTGTTTCCTGATGACAGATACTACTCTTAATCTACACAGAGACAACACTTTGAAACGGGAGATCCATGTTCCCGTCAATTGTTGTTCCGTTGATAAATCATAGCGTGTCTCACTCGGTGACTGACACACGTCTGGCTTTGCAGTCTGCCTCTTTTTTGTCACAGTTTCTCAGTGCTAACAACAGCTCGTCTGTTCCCTTCCCTCGCTGTGCAGCCCAGCAGGAGGATTAATTCTGTCACACGTTCCCTGGGTATGGCACAATCCAACAGGTTGATAGAAAATGGGGAAGGACGTGGTGTTTGTGGGAATATCTGACGTGTTACACTCACCTCGTGACTGTCGTTACTTCTGGGTTGGAGGAACATCAGCAAAGTCTGTGAAGGAAAAAAAAAAAGGGATTTTTCCTGTTCTTTGTGGGCCTCGAGTGTGATCGTGCCACCCTTCCACGCACAGGGAAGCTCTGCTCAAGAGAACAGCGAGAGTGGAGGGAGCCTTATGGTGTTTTTTCTGTGTCTTTCAAAGGCAACTGCAGGAAAAGTGGGGGATCACTTACCCACAGACCCTAAAATAGCTCGGGGTGCGACGTGCCCCCCTTCCCTGGGCTGTATGGATGCCACTATTAATAAGAGGAGCTGAAGTCATGGATTGAGCAGTAATGTGAGCAGCACTTCTGAGTGGCTTCAAACCTGGCACGGGCTCCCTGAGCAGAAACAACCAGGGGGAAGTGGCTCAGCAAAAATAGTAATTAATTCTGTTATAAAGGGGGGGCAGAACTAAGCAGAGGGAGCCCACAGCTCAAGTGAGGCCTGTGGGATGCTCCCACTTCCCTTTGCTGTCCTTCCCTTCCCGTACCTGCCACACCCTGATCTGCAGGTCTGCTGGGTGGCACTGTGGGTGTCACTCCTGCCTGTCACCCCCACGCTGGGCTGTCACTGCAGCTCAGCCCTTGGGACACAGGGACGGGCTGTTCCCTCCTGCCTCCCCGCCCTGCCTGGAACTCAGCAGGAAAAACCAGGGGATGAGGTGCCGGGAAGGAGCAGGGGATGGTGCCGGGCAAAGGCCTGGCTGTGCCAGGGTGGGTGGGGATGGGCAGCTGCTCAGGGCATGGGAGTGCAGGGAACTGGGGATCTCTAGGGCAGAGGGGGAAAGAGAAGGGTCTTCGTGCTGAAAATATGGGAAAAAATCCCAACCATCTCCCTCTGAGAGTCCCCTGGCTACACCCCCTTGCAGCCCTGCCCTCATGGAAGCACAGCCCCTCAGCAAGGGGGGTGATTGCTGCACCTGCAGAAATGCAGTTGGAGTGTTTGTGGCTAAAAAAATAAACACAAATTTTGATAAAAAGTAGGGTGGGGCTTCCTGAGAAAGAAGAAGATAAGACTTCATTTTCTTATCTGCTGCTATTAAAACTGGATTCTAGAATTATTACCTTTCGCTTTTTAAATTTTCTCTCTTTTGGAATTTTTATTGAAATTCAATGTTTAATTAAAAAAAAATTAAATTAAATTTTTAATTTTCTCCTGCAGTATTTCACCACAAAATCCATGTTGGCAATAGTGTGGCAGTACAGCTTATATGACAACAATAGGAGTGTCCTGGTAAGAATCTGTTCCCTTTTTTTCCCCCTCTAGTTTATATAAATCTGTAACAAATGTCACCCTCTGCTACTACTCTAAACCACTTGTTTTTATAGAAAATGTGATAGCAGTTTCAATTTGCAAGTGTAGTTCTGTTGCTCTTTGAAGAAGCCTTTTGTGTTTCCCCTCTGCCTCTGAAAAATCCGAATCAGATTGGCAGACAATGATTTGGGGTATTTTTCTCCTCCATCAGTTCACTGTAATTAGAGAGATGTGAAACCATCTAGCTCTGAATGTTCCTATTGCACCTTGATATCTCTGCCACCTTCTGCTCTTCCCAAATATTTGGGATGTGCTCTGCTGCACTTCTGTCAGGGCTGCCTGTGAAGCAGGAAGGGGTAAAAGTTGTCCCATGTTTGTCCAGTTCCAAGCACAGTCCTTATAAAATGAATGATGTCCCGGGGTGGGGAGGCAGATATTGGGGAAAGGGAGGCTCAGATTCAGGGCCCAACAACAGAGCAGGGCCTCAAAGTTGCATTTTTTGCTTCTGTTTTCCATAGATTGGAATCAGGAAATCCTCAACCCTACACTGCTCTTCTCAGGAGGGTTTCTGAGTCCCTGCAGCAGTTCCACAATTCCTTGGCTCTCCTCTTTTGAGCTCAGGCCTCTTTGCTGTGACCCCAAACACCTTCTCCTGGGCAGGTGCCCTCTCCAGCCTCAGCTGGCCTTTTCCCTGTTCCTGGTGGCCCTGTGGACTGCAGCCCCCTCCCGGTGACAGCTGCTGTGCCAAGGAGGCTCCTGCAGCCCCTGGGCTGCAGTAAAAATCTGCTCTGCCACAGGCACCTGACAGTGATGCAAAGACACTTCAAGATATTTGCTAAGTGCTCAGGAATTAATTTGTGATCATTGAATAATTAACTAAATCCCAGCAATCCAAAGGACGGGTGGGCAGCGTGATTTGCATGTACAGCACTTCTCCGTCACCAGAGGAGCTCAATTCATCTAATACAAGTCTAAACTCGGTGTATCTTAATTTGATTTACCTTTGACATGGCATTTAAATAGTGGCAACATCTACAACCTTGTGCTCCCCAATAAGGCTTCATTAAAAAGTTAGTGCCAGATCCAATCCATGGTTAGCACAGGCAGCCTTATCTCAGGGTTCCTGCTCCAGTGCCTTTGAGAACATGCTTAATTTAATCTGAACAAAGGCACTGCCACCGGGAGCCTCCAGCCCGACTTTCCACTCCAGAATATCTTTGTTATTAAATTTGGTGCCTACAATGGGCTCAGTAAATTATTTTAAAGTACTCTTCAAACAGAATTCTACTGGTTGTTAGACGTGGTTTGTATCTCTGGGACGTGAGAGGTGTCCCTTTGGTTGGGCTTTTTTAGAATGTCATACAAAAATGCAGGGTGAGTCTTGGAAACTGGGAAAAGCAGCAAGTTTTAAGGAGATGCATGTTTTTTAAGCATTCTGGAAAGAGTTTTTTTATTTTTTAATATGAAATGTTAACCATTATTATGAACCATCAATCCTTTTTCTAGAGGAAGGAACTCCTCACTAGAGGTTTCTGCTTCCTCATTTGTACCAAGTCAGCTGCTTGTGACTTTAGGCTGGTGGCAGGGTCTGATTTGTAATTATAATTTTAACCATGCATTTTTTTCATGATTTAGCGAGGGAACCAGTTGTCAATAAACCCTCCATACTGCCTAATAATCTCTGCTGCCTGAGAGTAAGGTTTGCTCATGCTACAAATAGGGGTCCTGTCATGACAGAACAGATAAAAACAGAATAACTTCACAAAGTGCTGGTGAGGCCTCAGCTGAAAATGGAATAAAATTCTGGTTATCCATACCCAAAAAAGGGAGCTGAAACTGGCCCAAAGGGAATTTGCTAAGAAATTGGGGGAGTGATGCACTTAAGAGAAGAGCAACTAGAAAAGGTGAAGGACAATATCAAGAAGAGATGTGTAAAGGTCTTTACTGAGATATGTAAAGGTAACATGGAAATAAGAGGACATATATCAAGGGAGCTTAAATCCTCTTATTCCTACCTTTACATGTACCTTTTCTCTTACCTTTACTCTTTAAATGATAAATGCATAACAAGTGGCTGGTGGGTGAAATATATTTCCACTAGTTTCGTTTATATTTTTAAAAATCACTTAAGCTTTCCCCCCTCATCCTCATAGTCTGTATATTCCAGAGAGGCAAAAGTAGCAGATTTTTTTTCTTGAATAATTATACGCCACAAATCTAAGATAATAAACAGTTCAAATGACGGCAGGAAAAAAAAAGAATATAAGGAGGCTTTACGAAGCTTATTTCATTTGTTGTGTCTTTGCACTTGGGTCACATGAGGAGAAATTTGGCCTCTCTGCGAGCAGCATTCTTGGCTTTGCATATCAGATATGAAATTTGTCTGGAATGTTTGCTATAAAAATACCTACGCATGAACTTACATCAGCGAGAAAGTAACTTCGGCGTGACCTTTCCGCAGCTCTGATGTGGCAAGATCATTCCCTGTGGAAACAGTAACTTAGGGAATGGCTGGCAACTGGTGTTTTCACAGGCTTTGTTTCAGTGCAGGAACAATCCTTGGAACAAGCCGCCCTTGGAAATCAATGTTTTTCTTTCAAGCTCCTTATTTTCTGCTCAGGAGCGACCCAGGGTAGGTTACCAGGCTTAATGTTGTAACAAAGCCATTTGGGAAATCCTCCCATTCTGTGTCAGTGCTGGGCTGAATACTAAAAGCAAACACGCTGGAGAACAGCAAAGGGCAGAGGTGGTTTTGATCCTTTTACCATTCAGCCTGAGTTTCTGTTTAAGACAGCGAAAAGGCATTTTAATGGAACGGGAAACTCCTACTGTCACCCGTGGTTGCAGCCCTGCTCCTTAGAGGACTTTTTGAGGAGAACCACCATCCCCTGTGAGGTTTGATGGGCTGAAGGGCTGTTCCCTGTGGGGTTTGAGGAGGATGAAGGGCTGAGGGTCCAGTTCCCTGTGGGGTTTGACGGGCTGAAGGGCTGTTCCCTGTGGGGTTTGAGGAGGATGAAGGGCTGATCTCCCCGCGAGGTCTGAGGGGGATGAAGGGCTGATCCCCCTGTTAAGTTTGAAGGGCTGAGCGCCCAGTTCCCTGCGAGGTTCAAGGTTTGAGCTGTCTGAGGGTCCCGTTCCCCGTAAGGTTTGGAGAGGGCTAAAGGGCCGGCCTCTCACCCTCCCACAGCGCGCTGAGGCCGTTCCTCCCCGTGCCCCGAAGCCTTTTCCTCCCCGGTCTCCCCTGCGCGCGTTACGGAAAGCTCCAAAAACTGTCAGAGAGAGAAGCGCCAGCAAAACCCTTCCCACCTCCTCACAGGGCCCTTCCTCTGGGGCCGCTTGGGCCGAGACAGAACCTCAGGCAGGACCCGAACCATCAGGCTCCCGCTTCCCGCCTCAGCACCCCCCGCAGGGCTGGGGGGAGGAATGGGGGGGGGGGGGGGGGGGGGGCTGCGCGCGCGCCGTCTCCTCCTCCCCTCACGCCAGCGGACCAATGACAGCCCCGCCCCTCACGCCAGCGGACCAATGACAGCCCCTCCCCTCACGCCAGCGGACCAATGACAGCCCCTCCCCTCGCGCCAGCGGACCAATGACAGCCCCGCCCCGCGCGCGCGCGCGCCCTGTCCGCCGCCACGTGACGCGGCGCGCGCTCCTCCTCCCCCCCTCCCCTCACTCCCCGGGCCCACGTGACCCGGCATGGAGGAGGCCGCGGGGCGGGCGCGCGGCCGCCTCCTCCCCCCGCCCCTCCCCGCGGGAGGCCCCGCCCCTCCCTCGCTTCTCCCCCCCCCTCACCCTCCCCTCCGCCCCTCCCCGCCCCGTCCGTCGGTAGCGGCTCCGCCGGGCGCCGCCGCCGCGGCCATGGACTGAGCGGCACCATGGGCGCCAAGGAGTCCCGCATCGGCTTCCTCGGCTACGACGAGGCGCTGCGGAGGGGTGAGGGCGCGGCGGGGACGGGGCAGGGTGGGTGGGTGTGCGGGTGGTGTGTGTGTGTGGGAGAGGGGGGGCTCCCCGCGCTGCCCCCCGGCAGCGGGCGGTGAGGCGGCACCTCCATGACGGACCCCGCGCGGAGGCACTTGCGCCGCTCGGGCTCCTTCGCCCGCCCCCTTTCACCAACCTCCCCCCTCCCCAGCACCCCGTCATTTATTTATTTATCCGTCCGTCTATTTATTTAGGTGTCTCTCCATCTATTTATTGAGGTGTCTCCCCCCCTGTTTCACCGCGGAAGGCCCCCCCCCCCCCTCCGCTCTCTCCCTTCCCGTCCCCACCGCCAGGACCCTCCCGCCGCCCTCGGCCCGGCCTTTCCCTTTCCCTGCCGCTTCGCCGGCTCTCTCCCGCTGGATAAATCGGGAAATGCTGCCATCCCGGTGTGACAGGGCTGTCTGTCAGCTCCCGGCTCTCCCATCCCTCGTGTTTACTTCCCCCCCCCCCCCCGTGCCCGGGGATCGCGCATCTGCAGCCGCCGGGGTGTGGGGAGGGAGGTGGGTTGTGGCGCGTGCGGGGGTTTTTTTTGGGATCCGTGTCGCTGTTCCAGAGCCCTCCTGGAGAATTTAAAGAGGAACCCAGCGAGGGGAAAAAAAAAAAACATAAACAAGCTGAATGGTGAATGCTCGCAGCTGCAGGGCTCCAAGGCGACAGCAGCTACACCCTGGCAGCTCCCTGGCTCTGGAAGTGATGGCCAAGTCCAAGGACAAAGAGGGCCGGGAATTTTCGGCAGCGGATGGTTTGCGGGCAGGGCAGGTGGTTCGCGGTTGTTGCCCCGTGGTGCGTTCCCGGGGTGCGGGGCAGGTAAAGCAGCTCACCTGTTTGATAGGGAAAACCTCGATAAAAATTCACGAGCTCAGGCCAACCTATGGCTGCCCTTTCTTGTGAGAGGCATTGCCAGGAGTGATAAGGGGAGAGCTGGGTGGAACCGCTGGGTGTTAATTGAAAGAGAAACAAATTGATGTGAAAGGGGATTTTTGTGAAATATTTTCTGCTTGTTTTATTTTTCTTTTTTTCTGGTGGGGCCTCTGAGGGGGATGCCATGTCGGTAGGAAACGGAGCAACGTGCTGTCAAGGAGGAGAAACAAATATGTGACTCAAACTCACGTTACATGTTTTAAACATAACAGCCCCGAAGGATTTCACTGCTAGTGAAAGTATAGGAAGTCTCTCAGAGCTTTGGTGCTTGTATTTTTAGAGGAGCTGGAGTCACAAATGCAGCCTGGTAGAGGTGTGAAGTTGAATACACCAGGAAGAGTTTGAAATAAGCTCTTAGGTGGTAAATACGTTCATTTGGTCAAAATGTGTATTTCAAAGTCCATAAATAAGAAAAAACGAGAGGTTTGAATTTTAACGTGAGATTTAAATGCTTCAAACTCTGAAGTTACTCTGGATGTTCCATAATTAATAAGATTGATCTGCTAAAAAGTTATTTGAAATTATTTTTGCGCAGTGAATATAATGTTTTCCTTTGTTGTTATTTTATTTCATGTTATTCTTCTCTATATGAGACATTTAATACTGTTTTTCTGTAGGAGAACAGAAAGGTTGTTTTAGGCACTCTGTTATAAATTGATGTTTTGCTAAATAACTATGTTGTTTACTTAACCAGTGAATCATTGTATGTATAAAACAGGCTAGTTATCAAAACATTATTTGTTAGACCATTTCTTACTTGCACAGAACTGTCCTGGTACTTGGGGCATTTCTGTGGACACAAAGAGAGATAATGGATAAACACAAACATTAAAAAAAGAAAGCCAAATCTATTTATCTCTGATTAGATCTGCCTTCTCTAACATTGGTAGATAAATGCTGAGAAAGTTTTATATTAGGTGATGTTGTACAGGTTCTTCAGCTGAAATCTTTCTGGATAATCAGTAGTGGGTAACTGTGCTTGTAGTGATCATTCAGAATGTGGTGATCATATTTTTGAGGCACTGGTTTTAATTTCAGCTGTTCAGAATATCTGGATAAATGCTGCTTCAGAAAATAACGACCAACAATTTCACTTATGGCAATTCCATTTTGGGAGTAACCAAAGGTTGTGAAGGTGAGGAGACTTGTTGTGGTTAAAGGCTCACAATATATAAATAACTGTAGCTAAAATGTAACTCCTGTTGGAGGAGATGAAAGTGTGGCAGCAGGCTGGTGTTGGTGGCCTTTTCCACCCTGGAACACCAGGTAGTACTGCTGGGTTATTTTTCTTGGGATGGGCACCCTGGACTTGTCTTGTGTCCCCCAGTGCTGGTCACACAGAGCCACGTTGGTGTCCCTGAGATCCAGGCCTGGTTGTGCAGTTTGGGAGTGGAAAGGAAGGGATGCTCTTTTCAGACATCTCTTCTCATGAATTTTGCCACTTGTGGGCATTTATTTAGAGGTGCTGCTTTGGATGTTGCTGTGGGAAAGGTGTGGGATCTGCTCTTGTGGGGAGAGCCCTCCCTGGGCCTGCAGAGCTCCTTCCCAGGAGGGATTCTTTGGGAGGAGGTGAAATCCATGGGCAGGTCGTTGGAGGTGAATTAAGAAGCACTTTGTTCCAAACTGAGCATCAAACTGTTGGTTATTGCACCAAACTAAGTTTGTGAAGGCACAAACTGGTGAGTTTGTTGCTTTTTGCTTCGTCCTAAGCTCCAACAGCAATTTTCTTCCCGGGGCAGTGCTGCAAGTCAGGCAGGGTCCTGTTTTGGTTTGGTGCCTTTTCCAACATTTCCACTCCTCTCCTGCCCCTCTGTCCATCAGGATGTCTGGGAATTGCTCAGTGTTAGGCCTTGCCTTAGGCCAAGGAGGTGGTGCTCTAAAATCTACCTTATTTTTAGTTGTTCTGCTGCCAGACTTGACACCCAGTTCCTTAAAGTGCTGTTGTTGGGCCACTAAAACTTTATAAAAGGAAGAACTTTTTATGACTTTTGTATTATCTCCAATCCTATTGTATTTTATTACTGCTGTATTATCCCACTGTGTTGTCCATAGAATATTTTAATAAGAATTCTCCAGGAAAGAGATGTCTGTGTGGTGTTGGTGGTTGGTTTATTTCAGATCCCTGAGGACTGTATTTTCCAGTGACTCTTAATGTGTTCTGCCTCAGTAACTCTTGGAGGATAATCACAGACTGAACAGAAATCCATGAAGGTCCTTGAAAATTATGAAACTATAGAATGTGTAGCCAAATTTTCTGTGAATGCTACTCAGAGCAGGTCTAACTCAGGCCAGTTCCAGCTTATCTGTGCTAAATATTGAGTCAGGTAACTGCTGAAACACAAGAAATGTCGGTGAATAATCGTGGATCTGTCAGATTTGGGCCAGGGGGGAAGGCAGAGTTTTCCTTCTGCTTGAAGCAAGGTGGAATTTTTGTGTGCAGGGTGGGAGAAAGGGAAGTGCCACAGCATCAGCGTGGTCAGGGAGTGAGAGGCTTGGAGGGATGAGTGGCTGCTGATAAATCCATTTATTGGGTTTGGTTTTGTGCACAGTGAGAAAAAAGAGCAAAAAGAAAGCACGAAACCGGTGCTGTTGTTCAGAAATGTGAAATGCTGGCTAATGGTGAGGCAAAACTGGGAGGTGTATCAATTCCACAGGTTTTGCCTCTGGAGAGCTCATGAAATAGTAGTTTTTGAAGGCAGTTTTCCTTCCTCATTGTGCATCTCAAAGGTGGTACTGGTTGGAGGACTCCAAGCCCATCAAAGCAATGAAAACCCACTTTAATCCACAAGAAGGTTGGTTTTAGTGTGTGTGCCAGTGATGACTAATGTTGTGTGATGGGCAGAGGATAAATCTTGTTAATGACCTCTTGTGCCTTGATTGAATTTGAAAAATAGCTACATTTGTTTTATTTAAATCAAGGCAAATATATCTGGTGTCTGATCATTAACATCCTCCAGTACAGATGTAATAAATCTGACAGAGGGATGATGGAGAACTTGTGCAAATATATAATCATCTATTTGAGGTTGTCCATCTCAGCGTGGTGACAAATCCATGGACTCAGCCCCTGAGCCCATGGAAAACCGATTTTTATTACTCCAGATTATAAAATTAACTTCTTAAATCCCAGATGCGTTTTTAGGCAAAATGATCAGGGAACCATTTTAGTGCTTTATTCTCCTCTCTCTGTATTCCAAGAAGGAAGTTGTTCTGCTTTATTTTCTATCATAACTGAAAAGGAGTACTTGAATATTATAGGGAGGTGAGAGTTCTTCAGAATGTGTTGTTTTTTAGGGGGATAAACCTGTGTCTTTCTGTTTGTGGAGCTCTGAGTTTCAGAGGCATGTGATGAAAATGCCCAGATCTCTCTTGGCCTTTTTTTCCAGCTCTCAGGATGAATAGGAGCCACTGTGGAGACAGTCTAGATTATACAGCCAGGCTTGTTATGCCAGCCAGTATTTGATGGCTTTAGGGCTCTGTCATATGATGAAAGCAGGTATGAATGCACAGCTTCACACTTCCTGTTTATAAAGCTG